CAAATGTAATATTTGTGATATTGGGCTATATAAATAAACATTGATTGATTGATTGATTGATTGATTGATTGATTGATTGATTGATTGATGTACTTATATGATTCTGTTTTCTTCAAGTTTGTATCTTCTTGGTCGAACGCACTTATTGTCAGTCGCTTTGGATAAAAGTGTCAGCTAAATGTAATGTAACTTATGCTGCATTCATACATAACGCCCCTCGCCACTCTACAACCAACCAGAGTCTCCTTAATAAGCCGCTCTATTGAACCTGCCAGATCTCTCGNAGCTAGTTCAGGCAGTCAACTCGAGCACTTATGCTGCATTCATACATAACGCCCCTCGCCACTCTACAACCAACCAGAGTCTCCTTAATAAGCCGCTCTATTGAACCTGCCAGATCTCTCGCTATGCATTGCTTGCTGCTGCTTGCTGCCCCACCACCACCCCAGCTTCCACCTGTAGGCTCGGGGGGGTTAGTTATCTAATCATCACTCAATGTTCTTTGTATATCTGTGGAGTGATGAGGCCCGAGCCTAGACGCCAAACTCAACTATATGCTGCTTCTAATGAACATGTTAAAGAAACACGTGAGTTGCCTGACTGAAGTGTCTCTGTGACAGTAATGCACATAAAGACTAGAGACAACATAATCTATTTGGATTGCACTGCTAAACTCTGATATGATGAATGTTTTAACTTTTATGAATAACTTGTTGATTGTATGGAATATTTAATAATTGTTTACATTTATTAAAATGATAAACCAACAGTGTCAGCAGCACTGATGTGTGTGTGAGTGTGTGTTGTGAATGTTTTCTTTATTATGATGACTTGCTCCTTACCTGTATTCACTGATGTCATCTATTGGGCGGCTGTGGCTCAGTGGATAGAGTGCTGGACTTGGAATCAGGGGGCAGCAGGTTTGATGTAGTGGTATCTTTATTCTTGCTTTTAGGATGCCTATCACCATCTGGCAAAGGGACTATCGGTGAAAACTAGCCTTTTAGCTAATTCGAGTACATTCACATGTTTTTAATATGTTAATTATTATATAATAACTACTCTCTAGTTCTTTGTATGGGAACAAGGCTTCATGATCTCCTCCACAACAGATATATAAACACAACTGATTATGACAATTTTAGCCAAGTCTGAAGGTTTCTAAAAAAAAAAGTGTATAATTTGGTGTTGGGGTCTGGGCTGGGAGACCCAGCAGAATTGTTTTGGGTGACACAAGGTCAAATTTGGTCCAATCAAGATTAATCTTTGACTTTAGACACCCCTCCCCCACCCCCTTCATACACTGTAACAATGATTTAAAACCTTTTGGGGGGAGATTGCATTCTAGTAGTCTATTATAGTCAGATAACGTAATGATCCACTGTCTTCACTATAGGAAATATAATGAGTGAATTGAATCACATGTTTTACTTAAAGGGGACCTATCATGCAAAATGCACTTTGTGATGTCTTTTATACATAAAGATGTGTCCCCGGTGCGCCGGGGAACTCACGCAGCGTCAGAAAATAAAACCCTCTCTCTTTTCCTCCTACCCAAATCTTTTAAAAACGAGCGGATACAGATTCCATCCGAGCTGACGTCAACCCGGATTAGTGTCCGTTCACACGAGACCTCTCGAAAGCGCTGGAGATGCTGTAGTACATATGACAGGCCTGTAAGTGGCGCTGTCGTCCTGCCACAAAAGCAGCGAAGAAGACTTCCCGCGCATGGTTGCCATGGATGCCCTTCTGTTTATTCTCCGCTGTGGCTCTTTTTCTCCCTCCCCGAGGCAAGTGTTTGCTCCTACTCTCCGGTTAGTCCACCAGCAAATGACAAACACCCACCTTTCCGCCTCTTCCGAGGAACGAGGGGACCGTGCGGCAGAGTTTCAGTTAGATTTTCTTTCGCCGGTCAACATGTCCGTTAAAGTTTAAATCTTCCGGACAAAATTAGAAAAGTGCCGGTAAAAGGTCTTCTTTGTTATTTATTGAGCTTTAAAACAAATTGATAACGACTCCATATAATCATATAAGAATAAAACACGGAGGACGGAGATCTCTTTTCCTCCCCCTCTTCTGAGAGCCCAGCGGCTGATCCCCCTCTCCTGCAGGGGGGCGTGGTCAGCTGCAGCTCATTTTCATTAAAACTACGTCACAGAATCAGCCCTTGCAAAAACAGGGCTAGAGCAAGTAGAGCGAAATGAGGCATGGCTAAAATGCATGATCTGTTTGGAATTTTAAAAAAGAACTTCACAGACATGTTTTATATAGGTATGGCCCTACAATATATGTTTCAAATATAGCATGATAGGTCAATTTTAAATATGTGGTGTAATGTGTTTTGGGGCTGTAAAATAAAATGACAGGATTGTACGGTTATGAATGCATAATAAGTTAGTTATGATGATATTGACCCGCGAACACCATGAACGGAAACAGCTTTTGAACACAAGGGTTAAATAAATCAAATCTATGTCCCACATTTCTCCACCTGAATAAAAACTCAATTTCTTTATGGGAGAAATTGACTTTCTCTCTCATTTGTGTATTTATCTCTGTGACAGTAAGGCCCATAAAAGCCTAAACACAAAAAGCCTATTTGTATGTTACTGCTGAACTCTGATATGATGAAGCCTGATCTCCTGCTCCTGTGATTACACTCCTCCGCTCCTCTCAGACCTGATGAACGGTTCCCACAGACCTGATCCACAGATAGCTTGTTAAAAGTGAAATCATCACCTCGTGCACTTTGCAGAGCCACAGCACATGTTATCAGGCTGTGTGACAGTGAGCTGACCCAGTAAACACCGCTCTGCTCTCACGACCCTGCGGAGAGTCAAACTGCATCAGTATCGATCAGACTGAACCTGTTGGCTCAGGTTTGTTTGTGTCGAT